TCTTACATTCACCATCACTACATCTTCCACCTCAGGGAATCTGTGTTGATAAAATCTACAACTTAGGCCCGGCATTCTGCAATTAAAACAAATAAACAAATATATAAATAAAGGGTTGAGTTAGGGTAAAAATAATCAATTTTGTAGATCCCGACAACAAAAGAACACAACAACAGAAAATAGGTACTAGTCTCCTCATCTCCTTACATGTCAGAAAATGGACAGATACCCAGGAACCAAGCTTTAGCTTTTATTTGCTCCACAGTTTTGTAACGCTTAGGCAATCACTTTTAGAGAAACCATAAAAAATAATGACTATCTATAAAGTGCTGCGAGACCTAAGCATTAAAGGAATATGATGAGAGTAAAACACTGTTTTAATATTGCCACTTAAGTAGGGCATCGTGGTACACGATGGTACACACCTGTAATCCCAAAGCTCCAGAGAATGACAAGTTTGAAGACAGCCAGGGCTATATAGCTAGATGCTATCTCAAAACAAAAACCCCAAAATATGGTAAATCATCAGCCAGTATTTTAAGAACTATCAAGGAACAGGAAAGATCACTATAACACAATTTTAACATTCCTAAGTTACTCTTTCTCCAAGCTGGCTCAGATGGCATATGCTACCATACGGCATACAAAGGGAAGAGTACTCCTTAACCAATACGGCAAATGTTACAGCCAATCCTTTTTGTGATGCTGTGGATGAGTTAAGTTTCTATTTACACATGAAGCAAGTCCTTTCTTACTTGCCACTCATGAGCTAGTCCATTATCACTGTAGCCAAAATTACAGTATCACAACCTAAAAATTTAGGGGCTGGAGAGATGGCTCAGCGGTTGAAAGCATTGGATGCTCTTTCAGCAAATGCAGATTCAGTTTCTGGCACCCACAGCACAGCTCATAACCATCCATAGTTCAAAGGGATCGAATTCCTTCTTCTGGCCTCTGTGTGCACTGCAAGCACACAGTGCACAGATAAACAAGCAGGCACAACACCCATAATCCCAGCACTCAAGTGGCAGAGGCAGGTGGAACACTGCGAGTTCAAGGCCAGCCCAGGAGAAGCTCTGTCTCTGAGAGGGGAAAAAAAAAGCATTTCCCTTTAAAAGAAATTTATTCACAAGTAATTTAATTTAGCCATTATAATTTCTAACTTGTACTACTCTCCAACAGTCTGAGACACCAGGGTCTTGATTATGCTAGGGAAGTACTTCACCACCAAGCTCTACTCCAGACCTATTTTTATTTTGTTAACAAATATGCCTAATCTTGAGAAGTGCTTCATAAATCTCCACAATTCAAGTGTCTTTTAATCTCCATCTATTACAGATACCTACTTGTAATTATTCTCTTTGATCCACCCAGTTTCCAGCACCATCTCTTTAGTGACCCATATGCTGAAAACCATCCCAGTTAGCACTACACTTTAAAAAGGAAGTCCTCAAGCTTTAACTGCAGCTGAGGACCTTTATGCTTTCCTATTAATCATAACCTACATACTGTGTCAGGGCCCAGAAGACAGATGATAAACAGCACCTAAAGGCCTAAGGAAATAATTCTGAAATCTTAGTAACTTACTTTCTTGTTGATTGGGAATAAGACATCAATATTTGACTTAAGAATTGATAGTCATGTTTAGTGTCACATGACTTTAAGTCCAGCACCTGGAAGGCAGAGGCAGCCAGATTTCTGAGTTTTGAGACCAGCTTGGTCTACAGAGTGAGTTTCAGGACAGCCAGGGCTACACAGAAAAACCCTGTTTCAAAAAACCCAGCCAGTCAAACCACCAAACCAACTAAGAATTAGATACTCTACACCCAGCATACGGAACAACAAAGTTCTGTCCTGGTATGGTTTGAAAACTACTCCCTGACATGCACATATTTCTACTACCTACTGAGAAAATGTGTGTGGGACTCACACATCTGTTTCTACCAGGCAGGACTATTACTACATGATCTGCCTACTGCCTAGCTCTTTGAGTACCGCTCGCTCTCTAGTTCTCCCTATCTGTAGATAAGGAGATGGGGGTGCAGGCTGAGCAACTAGCTCCTTTATATACTGATATGTAGTGAAAGTCAAGATTTGAGCCTATTAAATTTTGAACCAGTCTGTGCTCTGAAGATCTGGACACATAAAGAAATATCACCACTAGAAACATCTAACATGAACTTTAAAAACATATATCATCAATTAGGCCAAACTATTAGGAAAGAACCAACAGTACTGTTTAAACAGTAGCATGTGGCACACTCATTTCTGGGGCAGCTGAACAAAGCAAGGATTTAATAAACAAAAGAAATTCAACACTCAGCTAGAATTACTCATTTGGAAACAGTTTTTAAACAGTGTTTCTCTTAAGAGTAGGGGTGCAAATGTTTTCAAATACTTGCATACAGAAAACTTGAAAATTAAACAGACTTTCAATAAATAAATGTGGAACAATGCTAGGAGATTTAACAGCTGTTAATCATATTTATTCAGCAAATTTCTCCAAAGAGGAACGGTGATGCTTTGCTGGTTAAAGAATACAAGCAACATGGTAAGAGGACATAGGAGGGAGATACAGCTACTTCTTTAGAAGGTACATATCCCCCTCTCACAAAATACAGAGTAAATTAACACTGCTAATGGTATGTTACTTGTTACTTACAGCAGAAAGAAAGTAGCCCAAACTACAAAGGAATTCTTTTCACATTGACTAACTGAAAATGCTAGTAACTTTTTAAAAACATTTTTTAAAAAACCCACACTTATTCTGTCAATGAAACAGAAATCAATAATTTATTCATTCCTTACCATGATTTTCAATGTTCCTTTTCATTTTGCAATTTAACTTGCTGAAACAAACTTTTGGTACTAAACAATACCGACACAAAACTTCTTCCCTAGGGAATTAAGTACTAGTGGGATAACAAACTAGGAGGAAGACAAGGTGCTATGAAAAAGCAGAGAACAGAAATATCAAATGACTTCAAGCTAAATACACAAATACTTAAAAAAAATAAAGACAAAAACAGTAATCAAACCCCAAGATATCTCTCTCTTGAGACAGGGTTCCTCTGTGTAACAGTCCTGGATCTCCTGGAATTCGAATTGTAGACCAGGCTGGACTTGAACTCACAAAGATCCACCTGTTGCTGGCATTAAAAGTGTGTGCCACCACACTCGGCCAAACCCAAGTCTTTTAACACTAAGTCTGATGTATCTTTTATCTACAAAGTCTTAATATATCACAATATGGCAATGTTGTTAAGCGTTCTCCCCTACCCTTTTTGGACAGGGTTTCACTGTGTAGCTCTGGCTGGCCTCAAGCTCACAGAGGGCCTGTCTCTGCATTCTGAGTGCTGGTATTAAAAGATGTGAGCACCATGACATCCCTCAAACTCAAAATCCCACTTATGCCTCTAGAGTAGCTGGGATTATAGGCACACACCACCACACAGGCTGTTATGTTGTTCTGATGCGAAACAACAACAAAACAAACTCCTCACCTTTCAAAAGATATTATCCAAATTCGAAGCTAATTTCAAATACCTTATATTATCAGGATCGCGCCCCTGTTAACAGTAGGTACGACTTCTAGAACCAGTCAGTACATTGTCACATCAACAGAGCGGATATAGGAAACAAACATTCCAAAACAAAAAGGGTACTGTGTTGGGGAAAGACCTGTTCAGCTCTAAAGTTTACCAGCACACCTACACCTTCTGAGAATCGACGCCTGCCATCCGGGGTCATAAGCACTGAAAAAAAGACACTAAAATTCCATGTAACTGACATTTCTGAGGGACTGTCGAGCCCCCCCCCCCCAACTTAATGAGAAAAATCAAGGCTTCTCGGATGCGCCCTTTCTTCAAGAAATACTACATTATTCCTAATGAAAATTGAGGCATATTTAATTTGGGAGTTTATTAAAGAGCCCCAAGAGTGTGAACACTCATTTAACTCGTAAATTTTCCTTAATATTAGGCTCTCAGCTTCCATAATTAAACAGACCCCAGTTCTATTCTCGCAGTAGCCAAAGCAGGGCATATGAACCCCTTAATAAATAGCACAATTTTCAAGCCCAGGGTTGACTTCACTCTACTGAAATACACAACAAAAGCGAAAACTTAACCATCTTCAACTTCTGGGGTCACATTACTGACTATCTTGGACCTGCTTTTTTCCTTAAACATGATGGTCTATCCAATAGGTTCTCTGGCGAACACTTCAGTCTCCACCGAGAAGAAAGTTTTGGTTGTATACTGGGGGAGAGGGAAAGAAAAGAGCCCAAATGGCCCGATAAAAGCAAGGCGCCCGATCGCCCGAGCCAGGGTGGGGTGTCGGTTCTCCGGAGGCCTCCCCACCACAAGGTGTCTTTTCTTGAAGGAGGCTGTAAGGATCTAGATGACCACGTTCCTTGACGGGGTTCCTCAGCCCGTACAACCACGTTTCTGGCTCACAGGACCCGACACCCGACTGGCGAGAAGACCCAGCGAACAAGCCGCAGGCGGGGGCGACGGCGTCCAGACACTTCCCGCGCAAGGACGGGAAGAGGGGCCCGGGGCCTAGCCTCGCTCGATCCCTCTGTCACTGCACAGAACTAAAGTGGGTTCCTGGGGAAAGCGGGCTGCGGGGCCAGTCACCTGAAGCGTCTGTGTGACTCCCGAACTGAGGTCCCACGCCGAGCTCCTTAATGGCAACGAGTAGACTCCGTACAGCAGGACCGGACGCCGAAACTCCTCAGCGTGCGTCTCACTCAACCCAGCGCGCATGCGGACCCACCTCTCACTGCGCAGGCGCCGACGGAAAAGGCCCTTCGTTACTGCTAACCATAGAGTCTTGGTCCTCCTAGTGTGATCGGTGTGACCCACAGGACGATCTGAAAGGTCAGTTTCCTCGGCACTTGGTAGATTTTGCGGAGGGAACGTGGCAAAGTTTGAAGAAGAGGTCAGATTCTGTTTCTTGCTCCAGAATGATTACGTTAAGTTTTAATCAACCAAGAGATGGCGCTGTGGCGAAAGATGGGACGCCGAGGAAGAGGAGGGTCGCGTGATCTTCGGATCCGTCACTCAGAACATGCTGCAATCTTTACCGGCGTCCTGCCGGCGGGAGGGGCGGTGGAGCGACCCGGAATTCCGGGCTGTGCGCGCCTCCACATCCGGGCATTCCTCAAGGCCAGCCCACGCCACCCTCTCTGTCCTCTCGCAATAGGAACCGGAAGTGGGGACCGGTATCCTTGTAGCCGCTTAGCAACGCGAGAGGGTCAAGTGACTCCATCAGCTGACTCCAGAGGAGGAAGGCGCTGTGGTAACCAGTTCTGGAGGTGTTGCAGTCACGATTGCCCGGCTGGGGGCCCGAGCCGAACTGTCACCGTCAGAATGTCGGGCAAAGACCGGATTGAAATCTTCCCTTCGCGAATGTAAGTCAAAGAATAGGACAAGTGGCCCCAGCTTCAGGAACACCTTCCCGGAGCGAATGCCTGCGTACCCTTGGCCACCAGCCTGCTTCCTTCTTTTCGGGGCGGCTCCTGAGCTTTCCCTGGGGGTCTGTCCATGAGTTGAGAGCGAGGCTTCCCGATGGCCCTCTTACCTGTTCCTCCTGAGAGAACAGACGGGGCAAAATGGTTACAGTGCAAACGAAAAGGGGTCCGCCTGCTGGCTTTTTTTGGAGCTGTGAGGTTTTTACTCATTTCCCCCGCCCCACACCTCTGAGCCACACACACACAGTTTACATAACTGAGCCGTCACTAGCTCTGCTTCACAGGGCTCGTCAGTGCTGACGGGTGAGTTGGAGACGCTAAGGTGGTTTTGACCGAAGTTATGTGATGAGAGCATACAGACGGCTCTGAGCCAGAGTGGCGTTGAATGAATGAGTCGCCCTACCGCACGCAGCTGTCGGGTTTAATCTTGGATCCCTCCCAGTGTCACCTGCTGTGGGACGATGTACCTGGTCTTCTGAAGCACTCCTCCCTCGTAGTGTCACTCATGACGTTGTCACGCGGATAATTCTACTGTGGGATCTTTCTCTCCCGCTAACCTGTGGGCCATCTCCTGGACTAGGGGAGCATCTTTTAATGCATAGGAGGTTCCCCCCAAATGGTCCTTGAACCCTCGCTTTGGAATGGGGGATCGGCTGAGTTTCAGGCTGCCTTTCTGTTTTGGTCCACATCTTTGTAAGGGGAAATGACATTTGTAAAAGAAAGTTTACGTTTTTCTCAAATACGCATCCTAACTTGTGGATAGTGAAGATAGTTCTTATTTGTGCTCTTGTCTTTGAAGAAGGAAATAGTTTTTACTCTGATATTTCGGTCTTTTTCTTCAGATCCTGTTTGGACGGGTGGGTATGTTTTCTATATCCTATCTTATTTTTCCTCCTCACAGAACCCGAGGACTCTTAAATTTATTTTTTATGTGCATTTGTGTAAAAGTGTTAGATCCCCTGAAACTGGAGTTACAGACAGTTGTGAGCTGCCATGTGGGTGCCGAGAACTGAACCCAGGACCTCTAGAAAAGCAGCCAAGTGCTCTTAACTGCAGAGTCTCTCCAGCTCCCCGCCCCCATCTGAATGTCCATCTCTGCCTTGGTGTGTGTAGTTCTGAATGAATGAGAGAGCTTTAATTACTCTTTTAAAACCCTTTTTCACCTTCACCTCTCTGACTTTGAAGTGGCAAGTTGTACTAACTGCACAGACAGGCTAGTCGTGGAGAAACGCACTGCCTGCCACACAGACAAAAATCCAGACGTCCTTAGGGTGATCTCAAAACTCAGCGTGTAATAACCCCAGCCAAACCTTACTGAGAGAGACACCAGATTCCAACATGGCTGCCAGAAGCATAAGGTTATGCCCCTAGGATGACCCCAGTCTTCCCCTCATACCAATTATAGTAGCCCAGCGGCAGAGCTCTTGCCTAGCATACACAAAGCCCTGGTTGAATCCCTCAGCTCCTCAAAAGTAAAAATAACAAGCGTGCCTGGAACAAACAAAACTCCAAGCTGGCAGAAGAATTCAACGCTTGTTTTAGCTAACACCTGATCCCAGACCTCTCTATCACAAAACATTTATTTAAAAGGGTTTCTTTTCCCCCAATTGGATATATATTTTTGTATAACTCACAAATGTGTCAGGGACCTGAGAGAACCATTTATGAAATGTAACCATCCGGAAGGACGGTGTCTCTGTGAGGCTAGAATCGTTCCTTGTATGATGGTCAGCGAGCAGACGCTGCTGACCCAGCCACAGGCTGGACTCAGCCCTTAGTGATTTTCACTCTTCGGGCTCTGCTCCGTCTTACTCATCCTCTTTCAAATGCCCAGGCATGTCCGCAGGAACCAGAGTGGAACTGAGCTTTGCCTCGCCCTCCGTGGTCTCAATGCTTCAAGTAATGTCTGGCCATGTTTAATCACTAGTCACAACGCTAGTCTGCTTTTAGCTTTACTTTGGAGCTTTTAATTAGGACTAGGAGGTGAAAATGGACTTCTTTGGGAAAGGAAAACGGTAGGGGAGTGAGGGCAGCAGCTGTTACTTGAGAGCACTCAGCTTGCTGGTCCAGGGGAAGTGAGGTGTGGGAAGTAAATGTTTTTCCCACAGCTTGACAGCAGGTTCTTTGTCATACAGTCAGATGGCTTTGATTCAGCAGGAGACAAAGTCACTGTTTTAGCTGAAGGTCAAACTTTTCTTTCTTTCTTTCTTTCTTTCTTTCTTTCTTTCTTTCTTTCTTTCTTTCTTTTTAAGGCTGAGCAGGTATGAAACAGAAAGAACAGGTTTAACAGCCATGGTCGAGATTACACAGTACTGATTTTGGCTTCACTTGCGTACACTTGGTGCTGTTGTCCTGTGGAATGTTGCTTTCATTCAGGTATCATCCGAGAAAAGGAAACAAATTAGGTGGAAGCAAAGGAGGCCCTTGAGGGCCTAGGGATGTGGCTCAGCCATAGGGTAGAGTACTTGGCCAACGTGTACAATATGGGGGCCTTCAACCACCAGGACCACATAAAACTGGGTGTGGTGGCATACGCCCGAAGCACAGTACTCAAGAAGAAGAGCCAGGATGAGGGTTTTGAAACCAGCCTGGGCTACACAAGACCCTGTCTCAAGCTTGGGGTAGTGGTGGAGGGGGTGGGCGTGGAGGGAAGGGGCATAGAACCTTAGAGCTAGTAGAAGTCAGGTGAAGTCTTGTTTGTTATAAATGTTCAAACAGGTCACCCTTTTTTCCTTTCTTTTCTTTCTCTCTAATTTTTTTTCAGGCCTGGTCTCGTGTCCCAGACTGGCCTCTAACTCATTATATAGCCCAGGCTGACCTTCACCTTCTAATCTTCTCGCCTCAACCTCCCAAGTGCTGGGGTTACAGACTTTCACCACTCTGTATCTAGTTCTAGTCACTCTTGAGTCTCAATAACTGAAAACTTCTACTCACAGAAGTTCAGTCATCTAGAGTGAACTTAAGTTTTAGTTTATCCATGAGTTCATCCATGAGCTCCAAATTTGCAGGAATCTGCAGTGCTAGGAGCAACCTAAATTTTATCCAACTTTGTCTCCCCACTCCATGTGTGTGTGTGAGTATGTGTGTGTGCATGCATGTGCTGCATGCCCATCTGTGGGTACATGTGCCTGTGGAGATCAGAACAGGATGTCTGGTGTACCACAAGTGTAACATGAGGGGGCCTGCTTTTTGGGGTTTCTGTCCCACCTGATACCCCACAGCCGACAAAGTCCCAAAGAAAATCACACAGAGATCTCCATAAGTTATAAAACTGATTGGCCCATTAGCTCAGGCTACTTATTAGCTCTTATAACTTATGTTAGCACATTATTTTTATCTATGTTAGCCATGTGACTCAGTACCTTTTTCAGTGGGGCATGTCACATGTTGCTTCTTCGGTGGTCTGGACTGGACTCTGGGAAGAGCTTCCTTCTTCCCAGAATACTCCTGTTCTCTTTGCTCCACCTCTACTTCCTGTCTGGTTTTCCCGCCTATACTTCCTGTCTGGCCAATCAGCATTTATTTAAAACATGATTGACAGAATACAGACAATTCTCCTGCACCACACAAGTAATAAAAACTCAGAGATAGAAATTGGGATTCAACTTGAAGTTCAGAAAAGCAAAACAGCCAGCCATTGGCACTTACCTCTACCTCAGTCCAAAATGGCAGCCTCCAGGAATCTCAGAATGAGACTGTTTCTGAGAGCTGTCTCCTCCCATTTTATACTCTCTAGTGCTGGGATTAAAGGCATGAACCACTACTACCCGGTTTCTATGGCAACTAGTGTGGCTGCTGGGATAAAAGGTGTGTGTCTTTAATCCTAGTGCCTGGTCCATAAGGCTGATCAGTGAGACTGTTTTACTCTCTGAACTTCAGGCAAGCCTTATTTATTAAAATACGAATAAAATCTCACTACGGTCTCGTGTCTTCCTCTATTACTTTCTCTACTTCTCCTTGAGACAGTCTCATGAGAAGCTTGTGGTTTGGGCTACACTCCTGATGAGGGAGCTCTCAGGATTTGTCTGTGTCTGTCTCCCAGTGCTGGGATTACAGGCACATGCAGACATGCCTGGCTGTCTACCTGGGTCCTTGGGCTCGAAGAACAAGTGCTCTTACACACTGACTCATCTTCTCAGTCCCTCCTCCAATCTTTTGCATCTTAACTCTGGTATTTAGTGTCAACAGTGCAGAATGTTTTGTGTACACATTGGTGTGGATGGCTCTTGTTTAGACTGGAAGCCGAAGCGGCTTCACTGGATTAGACCTCTGGCAAGGCTGGTCTCTGCACTCGCCCACTGCTAACTACCTTTCAGATGGAGAGCTGTTCAGGTGCTGCGACTACATCTTTCAAGGGAAACAGTGTGGAGCTGGGGCCTGGTGAACCTAGGCTGGAGCCTTACTTTGAGTCTTGGGCAAGTCACTGGAATCAAATCTGGCTCAAACTCCTGCCTGCTTGCTCTTCCATGAGTAACTGTGGGGGCATTGCTCTACTTTTCTGAGTCCCACTTTCCTAAAGTTAATGTCTAAGGTTTTCTCCATTTGTAGAATTACCTTAACCTCCTAATGGAAGTTTTTAGTAATCAAAGGATTTGCCCACAGATTCACTAATACATGCTATTTTGCTGTGTGCCTGGGCCGAGCAGCCTCTGAGAGAGTATATTATTACCCAAACCCCTTTTCTCACTGTGAAATTTTATCTGTCATGTGACCACTAAAACACCAATATCATTTTCCACTATTACTGACTTTATTTTGGTGTTAGGACTTCTGGTGAGGAAAAAATGCAGTAGGCTTAGGAGGCTTCACTCTGAGGTTAGTGGGCCACTTCCGGGTCTTATATATGCATTTTGTTACTGGACACATTTAAAAATGAATACAAGCTGATAATAGCATCTTGGTTTATGACAGGAAAGCACTTTAACCCATGCGAGCAATAGAAACACAGTGTATCATTGTAGAAAAAGTGTAGAATGTACCATAAGTGTAGCGGTAACAAAGTAAGCTAGGTTTCCCCCAAGCCTCATTTCCTAAAGAAAGCCGTTTCTAGCTTCTGCGAGTCCTCTGAAGAGCTGTTCTTTGCATCGGAATGAGCACATTCATGTCTTTGTTCTCATAAGACAGCACATAAATCTGCTGTGGAGGTATTTCTTGTGCCTTTTAAGTGGTGACAATAAATGTGTTTGCTTTGTTTTTGTAGGGCTCAGACCATCATGAAGGCTCGATTAAAAGGAGCACAGACAGGCCGGAACCTCTTGAAGAAAAAATCTGATGCCTTAACTCTTCGATTTCGACAGATCCTGAAGAAGATAATAGAGGTAGAGTAAGCTTTGCTTAGAGCAGGGCATCTATTCAATGTCTGTCTAAAGAAAACCAAGTATGACCTTTCGCACTTAAAATTTCCTTCCTCCATGCCCCTTCCTCCCTCTCTCCCTCTCTACTACCTCTCTTTCTGGTAGTGGGGATTGAGCATAGGACCTCATGTATGCTGATACACACCTTACCACTGAGGGAAATATCTACTTCCTAATTTTCCTTTACATTATTTAAATCAATTTTTGTCCTTTCAAAAAGAATAATCCTTTATAGTCGGAGCAGTCACAGGGAACTGCTGGCACATGTGCACAGGAAGATTTAAGTTGCGTGGTAACACCTAACTCTGCCACATGTCCTCGGGGCCACGCTTGCCCCCTTCACCTATGTGTTCTTCCTGAAGTCCCCTTCAAGGGCCTGTGCATTCTCTTCTATGACTAAGATGCTTTTATCTTCATCCTTTTAAAATTGAGAAAGGGTCTTATTCTGTAGGTGAGGACAACTCATGGTAGCTCTTCTGCCTTGGTCTCTCGGTGCTGGGATTACAGGCATAAGCATTGTATCTGGCTCCCTAGAACTTCTTTTGACTGGCTTCTCTGGCCATTCTGATCTCGTCCGAGAGGCTGTTGCCGGTCATCCAATCTGAAGTAGCTGCTTGGGTTACTTCTCCTCATTTTATTCTTTTTCTAGCATATTCTACTCCATGATGTTTTCTTGGTTAATGGGTTCACTTCTACTACAGAGTTGAATTTCCAGAGAATAAGGACTTGGTCTTTTCAGTATTCTATTCCCAGTGCCTGAAACAGTGCCAGTGCATAGTAGGTTTCGTTGAGTGGTTATTTTGGGCAAATGGTGGGTGAATTATACAGAATAGTGTGTAAACAATACATAATCGTTCTCAAAACTAAAGATTCTTTTGCTGGGTCTTTTCTTACCTCCAGAAATTCCATCTCTCATTTCTCTGAGTTAGTTTTAGAATCTTTTTAAATATGAGTTTGTTTATTGTAGTTTATATGTGGGTACACACACATATGTCACAGCACATGGTGGAGATCAGAAGACAACATCAGGAGTTGGTTCTTGCCTTCCACCTTGTTGAGGCAGTGTCTCCTGGTAGCTGCTGCTGACCTATGTATGCCAGACTGGATGACCAGATGATTTTATTCTTCTAGCTCTGCCTATTGTCTCATAGGAGTGCTGGGATCACAGATGTGAGCCACCTTTTTTTCTTTCCCTCTGAGACAGGATCTCACTATTTAGTTCTGACTGGCCTAGAACTCTTGATGTATACCAGACTGATTTTGAATTCAGAGAGATCTGCCTGCTTCTGCTTCCTGAGTGCTATAATTAAAGATGTGTACCACCATGCCCAGCCCTTCTGGCTTTTACATGGGATCAAGAGCAAGTCATCAGGTCCTTTTTTACCCACTAAGCTGTCTTTCTGAAAGCATGTACCCAGAGTATTATGTGCATACACGTGGATTTTTAAGATAACAATAGTATTAAATGTTGTAGTATTTTTGACTTGCTCCCCCACTCCCTTACTCCATGATATAACACAAACAGCTTTATATCAGTACATAAATCTGTCTTATTCTTTATAATACCTGTATGGCATTCCCTTGTGGATAACGGAATAATAGTATGTTATTAGTCCAATAATAGTATGTTAATAGTTATTGGACTATGTAATAATAGTCCAATGTTTAGTCTTAGCAGTGCCTAGGGAGGAGGACATGCATGACTCCTCTGTGTGGAGTGCTGACATTGTTCCAGAAAATAATTTCACAGTCTTCTGTGGTCACTGAAATTCTTTGTAAGTAACTGCCAAGATCTTAATACCAGCTTATGTTCTTACAAAATGATGTACAGGGGGGCTTGTTTTCTTACACCCTTCCTAACTGGGCACTCAGGATGTTTGTGTTGCCCGTCCGTGGCGCTGCTTTCTTCAGTCTGTGCTGTTTTCAGTTATGTGTGAGCTTGCACAGCTTTTCCTATACGCTGATAACTTGATTCTCTTGGTGAATTTCTTCCCTTTTCACTTGAAAAAAGTCATACATTCTGGTAAATGTATAAAACACTAAAAAATATTTTCTTCATATCTGTAAACTAAAGGACAGTTGAGATCTTTTTACTCTCTTAGATTCAAAGCAACAAACTTAGAGTTGCTAGGCAAGTGCACTTCTACTGAACTATACTCTCTGCTCCTGAATTAAAAATACAAATAAAACAACTAAAAATTCTTATTTTTTTTTATGTTGTTAAATTCGAAGTTTAGCCCTCTCTCTCCCCTCATCACGCCTGTTTTCAGACAGGGTCTCACTTCCCGGCCAGCTGGAGGCTGACATTTACTTCAGCCCTCCTACTTCCTTCGTCCAGAGTTGGGATTCGGTGTGAGCCACTGTGCCTGGGGCTCCTTATACATCTAAATTATATAAGGCTTTGAAAGGGCTAAAAGGGCTAGAGAAATACTGTTTTATTTTGTGGCTTTATAGCTACTTATCTGTTTTGAGAGAGAGACTTACTTTTTTGTCCATGGTTCAAGCAATTCTCTGGAATTAATTAATCTGAGTAATTGTGACTACAGGTGCAGAACACCACACCTGGCTTATAATTTTTTGTTTTGTTTTAATTTTGTTTTGATTTTCTTGCAACAGTTTTATGTAACCTGAGCTGATCTCAAGCTGCTGTGTAATGAAGGATGATCTTGAACTGTCTCTCTCTCTCCCTCTTAGGTGCTAGGGTTACAGGTGATGTCACCACACCTTGCTCACAGTGCTGTGTGTTTTAAGATTTACTTTTATTGTCTTGAATTATGTGTATATCTGTGTAGGTGTGTGTGTATGAGTGCAGGTGCCCGCAGAGGCCAGAGAACCTGAGTTCAAATGCCTAGAACCACACAAAAGGCTGGATGTGATCTCATGAGCCTGGAACTCCAAGGAGGATAAGTTAGGGTAGGGGTCCTGGAGCTTGTTGGCTGCTAGCCTGGCTCCAGATTCAATGAGAAGAGACCCTGTGTCAATAAAACAAGGTAGAGAGCCAGAGCAGGACAACCAGTACCCCTCTACACATATACCTGACATACACATGGAGGGGGTCCTTCTACTGAATATGTATTATCTCCTTTTTAAGGATGGGTCTTTCTTGGTGGAGGAATGTTGTAAGTTAGAAGTTTATCATTTTGTGAATGGATGGACAGTTGAATGGGCTTTTATTACAATAAATTTTCACATAGAAATTTGGGCTTGTTTCTGAATGCTCTGTTTTGTTTCTTATCTGTCCCACACCAGACATGTTTCCTTATTTTAGCAGGTTTTTAATTAATTCAGCTAGTTTCCTACCCATATGACCCAGTTTCTCTTCTCTTAAAAAAATTATTGACTATTCCCAAGCATTACATTTTCAGCTGTACTCTGGAGTCTGTATACCAATGGGGTTTTAGGCTCTAGAGGAATTTAGAAGATTAATTTGAGCAAGTCACCATGGACTTATTCAAGAATAATCAAGCCTCACTAGATTCAGTTTTCTGTTTGTCAATGAGCTTATTTTAATTTTTTTTTTTTTTGAGACAGAGTTTCTATATAGCCCTAGCTGTCCTAAACTTGTAGACCAGGCTGGCCTTGAACTCACAGAGATCCGCCTGCCTCTGCCTCTCTATTAAAAGCATGTGTCACTACCGCCCTGCTGAGTTTATTTTAATTTTAAGGCTCATGGTTTTCTAATATTGTCAGGACCATGATCAAAATTATTCAAAACTTGAGCTTTATATTTTCTCATTACTAAGTCAGTTTTTGCTTCTGATACTACTAATTATGGTATGATTTTGTTGTTGTTGGTTTATTCTTTATCAGACTAAGATGCTGATGGGTGAAGTGATGAGAGAAGCTGCCTTTTCATTGGCTGAGGCCAAGTTCACAGCAGGAGATTTCAGGTAAGAGCAGGGTGTTTGAAAAAACCCACAGTGCTTTCAATTTCATAGTTTCATAACATTTTAATTAAAAAATATATGGACACTAAAGACAAAGGATACAGTAATAGGAATATTTTTAACACTATAACCTTGACCTATTACTTCCAAAATGTTCCTTTTCTATAAGTGGCAAGTGTAGAATACTTGATATTTTGAAACTCATTTTCATTTAACATTGTGTCCTAAACATTTCTCCGTTTCACAGGTTTGCACTCTTGAGTCATATAATTTATTAACCTTTTCTTCTAGTGCCAGATTTTTGAGTTGAATTCTAGATTGTTGAACTATGAGGGAATGAACTATGAGCATTTTCGTGCATACTTATTTTTGTTTCTAGGATACATTTTTTGAAAATGGAATCTGTTATTCCAAAATCAAGAGCTTTTTGGCTTTTATGATGCCATTATAGCTTGACAAAGCATACATACTGGTTTGCAAATGGATTATGCCCATTTATTCCCTTCCAATTCTCTAAGTAAGTCTGGAGATGAGTGGTGTTACTCCCATTTTGACTGAACGTGTTTCTGAGGGTACATGGCCAGTTAGGGACAGACGTGGAAGTTGTTTTCTGCACTTTTTAGTTTCCTGTTTCATGACATGGGCCCTTCTTACTGTAGGAGCTTTTCCTGTCAGGAAGGTCTTACCTGAGGGCCAGGAGGCCCGCTGAGTGACAGGTCTTACAATCTGCCAGTGCTGGTAGGAGAACATAATCTTTTTTTTTTTTTTTTCTTTCCCAGCAGAAGGGGAACATTAGTAGAGTGTATTTGATGTGGTTATAGGGAAATACTCTTTTCTTTTGGTAGCAGATGGTGAGTTGGATGACATCAGAAGAATGTTAGGATAAAGACTGTGAATAGCGGCTTAGCCAGCTGCACAGTAAACCTAGAATGAAAGCGTTCTCTTCCGTTTTCTGCTGGGAACACACCCTCTAAAGTCATTGCCAATACGTAATGTGACTTCTTACTCCTGATTTCAATGCTGAAATTATCCAGTGGGCCCCTATTGATTTATTTCTTCAACAAGTCTAAATAAAGGCTCTTCTTTCTTTTTTATTTTCCAGCACCACAGTTATCCAAAATGTAAACAAAGCACAAGTGAAGATCCGCGCCAAGAAAGATAACGTGGCAGGTAGCCGACCAGCCCCGAGAGTCCCTGGAGGGTAATGGTGACACTGAGCGAGTCAGCTGCAAGACATCGCAGGGTCCTAATTTCTCCTAGATAAGGACATCCTGATGGCATGTTAAGACCATAGGGGTAGGAGAAAAAGAGAAACGAGCCCAGTTTGTGAATCCATACATGTATCTTCATTGTTTTCATTTGACAGGCGTTACCTTACCAGTGTTTGAGCATTACCACGAAGGAACTGACAGTAAGTGTGGATATCTTCAGATGTATAATTTTAACTGAAAAATATAGTTGGCAGTCACTTGCCATTTAAAAATAGGAGGCTTTGTCTTTTATTAATAATTCACTAACTAGACTTCTATGTTATCTCTCTGCTTAAACTGCACACATCTTGAATTGTTTATAATTTCCGGTTTGTGTCTTTTAAAAGTCTGATAAGATCTTACATTCCATGATGCTTTCTGAATGCTAGATCTTCCTAGATGGCTGTAGCTCACGCCAAGCTTTATGGAATTGTTCTTTCCTAATCTGGCAGCATTTGTGAGGATAAGTAACACTGTTTAGTCTTCTCAGAATGACGTAGTTAACCTTTTCCCATATAAAAATACTCTTTCTTCATGAACTTGTTCATTGAATTGTGCAGAATGTTAATTGTGGCTCACATAAAGGAATAATTTGTACAGAAAGCCCCTTGCACTAATGGCATTGACCACTGTTAGCTAACTTATCAAGCCTGTGAAGTGGCTGTTTCCCCTCTAGGGCTGGTTATGTAGCTCGGTGGTAAAGGCTGTCTAGTGTGTTTAGTTTTTGATTGTATACCCAGCACCTGCACACACATTTCTCTCCTTATGGTTACTCTAGTAGCCTTATAAAAACCCAGGTTCTGTTTAGTATGTTATGGAACATTGTTGTCTAAGCATACAGCCATTACTGTCTCAATCAGAGAAGCTGTGGTAACCTGCAAGAGACCCTTAAGAAGGGCTTGTTGACCTTTCTCGGGAGAGAAGGTAGGGTCACGGGATCCTTAGCTGGGATTCTAGTCATTCCCTGAAGGGATTCTGTTGCAGCTGTACATGGTCTCTGGGGTGCTAGAGTGTATAAGGCATGGAAGACTAACTAGAGGGGGCTCAGCTGTGCAGCCATGGGGAAGTTAACCATGCCAGGAGACTTCTGTGAAGCAACACTTGGGGTCACCTCATTTTTATACTTACCTCATACCCTATAATGTAAGCCCAAGAAACTTATTTGTTCACCAAGCTAGACCTTGGTCTGTCCTGGTGCCATGTTGGTCGACTAGACACCTGTTCGTGTGAGCCTGGAATGGGTATTTTGTGCTTGGCATTTGCATTTAATAGGAATGAGTGAATTGTCTTTCCATCTTTGTCATTATTCACAATTATTTTCCTTTTGGGAATTCATGGAGGATTATTTACTCTCTAACCAAAAATGTCGTCTGGCTGGTTCTTTCAGGCTATGAGCTGACTGGCTTAGCCCGCGGTGGGGAACAGCTGGCTAAACTAAAGAGGAATTATGCCAAAGCAGTGGAACTACTGGTGGAACTAGCTTCGCTGCAGGTGTGTCCCGCTGAGGCCTCTCCAGCCTGGCTTCTGACAGTCACGCGGGCACCAGCAGGGCTTGTGCTGGAGCTCACTCAGCTCAGATGGCCCTGCATGACACAAGCCTAATGACTAATGACTAATGACTGACCCCGGGAGCGAAGCCCGCCTGCCTTTGCGCGTGTGTGCTGGCACAGATCACTCTGCTAGACGAGAGCAGCAGGGTCAGTACTAGGGTCAGTGCACATGACATGGCCGCGTATGTGGCCCGTTTCTGCACATCTGGGTTCTGAGCGAATGCTTTTCCATGGAAGCAGCACTCGTTCTGTAGAAATCTCGTGGGCATTTTCTGTTTCTAAGACAGGCTGAAAAGAAGTGAGTTGTCTTTGGGTCCCCAAATGTTTTCTGTACGCAGACCGAGCGGGGTCGAGTGAACAGGCATGACTGGTCATGGACATGTGTGCTTGCTACCAATTTGTCCTTTGATTTTAGACTTCCTTTGTTACTCTGGATGAAGCCATTAAGATAACCAACAGGCGTGTAAATGCCATCGAACATGGTGAGTCAAAGCCGCTGGGAGGCCCTTTGTTCATCAGCCCCTTGTTAGACAGCTACCAGGACTCAGGCCCAATCCAGACTGAGAGGTGAGATGTGCCCCTGCCAGGGGAGAGAGAAATGTGTCCACAAGTAAGAAAACACACAGATGCATCCTGAGGGAGTTCCAGGGTTCAGAATGCCATCTACCTCTGGCCACTCATGCAGTTAGTGAGGTAGAAATTCTATTCCTCACGAGCCATAGTGCTTTCTTAAGTTCTCTCCATTGGTTGAATGATAGCTTTATTTTTTTTTTTAAATTTGAAGATTTAAAAATTTAAATTTGAAGATTAAATCTTCAAATCTCTCTTTTAGGCTATTGTTGTCTCATTTTGCTACATTTATTTTCTATCTTTTATCCCATTATTTTAAAAATACAACTATTTAACAACTTTCTTGGCTGAAGAACCAACTCAGTTTCCATGAAAGAAATGTTTATTATTCAGCTTTAGGTAAGAGAGGAGCAAAGCTTGAAGCACAGAAGTTCCTGCAGCTGGTGGCCCGGTAGTATTATCTCATCTAAAAATATGTCTGGCCACATTACTTGGTGGTGCCTAAGTACAGGCCGGGCAAGTATTGTACCACTGAGCTGCACCAGTACCCCAGAAACAGTTCTTGTCTGTATTTTAGTGTTAGTCTTTGTTTCATTGAACTTCCACCAAAATAAAAGGAGTAATGTTATAGTTCTCAACTTCAGATAGCTCCCAGCACAGAACAGGAACATGGTATGTACAGCAGAGCTCAGTGACATGTACAATGGTCCCAGTGTTCTCTCTTCTCGGTTTTAACCACGGTGTTCTAGTGTATTTAAGGTAATGTCTGCGGCTTATTGTTGCCTGTTCAGGTGTACTTAGTATCAGTGTTAGATTTTTTTTGGCCAGTGTTGGTATCCGTACATAGCTGGAAGGGCATATTCCAAAATAATTACAAGATAGTTTAATTTGGCTGGATTACATCTCATTTTAATTTTTTGTGTTTTTGTTTTCCAAGTTCTCTGCATTAAGTGCACATTATTTCTACAATTAGAAAATAATAAATACTGTACAGCTGAATATTGGTAATTTTCTGAAAGGGCACTGAAGTTCTCACATATGTATATTTTAAACTCTAGTTATCATTCCCCGGATTGAACGCACCCTTGCCTATATCATCACAGAGCTGGATGAGAGAGAGCGAGAAGAGTTCTATAGGTTTGTTGAATTGGCACTTAACTTTTTTTTCTCCATACAGTACAGTCTCAGTTTGCTCCGTGACTAATGTACTTACGTTCTTTTGAATAAGCACAGTTTATTTTATTCTGTTAATGAAAACAAGAAATATTTGGGCATGTGGTGCTTGTTCATAATCCTAGAACTTAGAAGGCAAGATTGTAAGCTTAAGGCTAGCCTGGGCTATCTCAGAATATACACTCTTGAGAAAATAAAACTGAAAGAAGAAATAGTAACAGCTGGTCCCTTTACCTGCATCTTGGTTTTCCATTTCAGTTTACTGTGGTTAACAGCAGTCTAGAAATGTTAAATGGAAATTAAAGACCTAATATGTAGGTTTTCAGCTGTATGCTCTCCCAAGTAGCATGAGCCATCGAGGTGTTGTGCTATCAGACGAGGCATCACTTCATCTAACACACCCACCCTGTGCACTACCTGCCACCAGTCACTTGGTAGCTGTCGGTCGGCTGACATGTTTGTAGTGGTTCTTGTGTTTCCTTTAAGGAAAGAGGTGAAAGTTTTTGACTTGTTATTCCCTTACTGTATTTAATTATTACATTAAACTTTTATCAATTTTCAATCACACTTGCCTAGTAGACAGATATAAAGCTTAGCCACTAAGAGTAGACTATGCACTAAGCCAGGCATACTACACAAACGTGGTTTTAGATCTGCAGGTCTTAGCATATCCACTGCAGAGTTGGATGAATATGTTTCTAAGATCGGTGTCATGCTTTGCACATAGATCAAACATGGTATCTCCAAAACTTTATGCCTTTCAGAAAAACTAGTAAGATTATTCTTTAAAACAGAAAAAGAGTGATTGTGTTGGGTCTCTCCTACTAAAACCTTAGATGGGAAATGAATTGAGCAAAGCGCCCAATTCACTGCACACGTGCAGGTAATAGATAGATAGTACTTGGACATTCCCAACTAGTGAATCACACCGCTAGAACTAGCACCATATGTGGTGAGAAAAGGTTCGCCCAGTTTATGAAAATCTAGAGCAGTTAAGAGTAAATATTAAACAAAGGGGCCGTGCTCTAAGTTTGCAGAAGAGGAGGGTGCGTGAGAAGAGTGTTTAGAGGAACATGTTGTCTTAGATCCTGAAGCAGCTCAATGTGACATGGAATTGTAGTTATCATTCATGTTCAGGGTTATAGTGACCCAAAAATTTTGAAAACAGAATGCTCAGAATCTGGCCCTTTATAGAATGGATTTCAGGTTTTATTTAATGTAGGCTAGGGTGTCTGCAATCAGATATTAAAAGATATTTTTCCTCAAACATTTTAAGATGGCAAAAATGGCAGAAGATGAATGTTTCCAGTGGTCCCTTGGTTATTGTCTGTTTTTTTATTGTTTATTGAATGAAGACATTCATGTTCCTTTTCACTGAAAGAGCATTCAGAGAGTCCCCTTTTTGCAGGTTAAAGAAAATACAGGAGAAGAAAAAGATTATCAAGGAAAAATTCGAGAAGGAGTTGGAGCAGCGGAGGGCAGCTGGAGAAGTGATGGAGCCTGCCAACCTGCTGGCCGAGGAGAAGGACGAGGACCTGCTGTTCGAGTAGCGGCCCCTTCGCTCCCAGGCCCAGCACCCGCTCCATCTTAACTCAGAGTGTAGATTCAGTATGTGTGGGTATTTATTTTGGCATAAGAATTCCCCTGGCTGTAAGATTAAGGATGCCCCGTGAGACTATTTCTCCTGCATCCTAATTCAGCAACCACTTATCACAGTTGAATGAGACTTGTAAAAATTGCCCAGCAACTTACATACTTTCTTCTGTGAAAGTGTCATACGATCCTCTGTACAGTAGCTTCACTGGTTCATACAAACATTCATGGTCTCGGCCAACGGCTGTGAGCAGCCCTCGCTCCTACCCACTTGCAAACCTTGACACTGCTGGCTGAGGCTGCGCAGCCACCATTGTGTTATTGTGGTGTCCTCAGCTCTACGCCTACTTTTCTTTGCACGATAAGTCTGTCTGTAATGGAAGCAGTTCTGCCCATTTAAATGTGACTTATGAACAGAGTAAAATGATTTAAAAACATGTTGTTTCTTTTTCTTTTTATAATAGTGATTATATCCTTGTTTCAGATCAGTGACCTTATTGCCACTCAGCTTTTACCAAAGACCTGTAGCTAGGAGCCATTTCTTATTCCCTATCTGAGTGTGTTGCTAGGTTTATTTACTACAGGTACTGCATTTTGGGGTACTAATAAGTGACTGCCAGTGCTAAGTAGGTTTCATAATATTTCCCTCCTAATCTAAGAACAATACTAATCCCTACTTTGAACTAACTAGGTAACTTTTTGCTGTTTTAAAATAACAGTTTGTTGTTTATGTAGATGAGATGACAAAGTGGGCAGACCTGGGGGTGTCTTGAGTTTTCAGTACTGTTTGATTTGGCATGATTATCTGTGATTACTCAGACTTTAATGCCACCAGTTCCAGGCATTGTGGGCTTCCTGGGCACAACTTAGTTATAGGAGTGACACTGGTGTTAATATAATCTGATAGCTGCTACCACAGGGTAGACTTTTAAAGATATTAAGTGATTTTTTTTTAAACATTTAGGACTGTTTGCCAGTTACGGTAAGTCACATCTTCAGTCCAAAAATACGTATTTTAGCTCATTCAATGGCCTCAAGATTGAGACACATGGGAGCTTGAGTAATTGCTTCTAAATGAAAAAGTGGGAACATGATGACGAGGAGTCCAGAATTTAAGCCCAAGTAGTCTAACTTCAATTATATAAAAAAAATGTATTTATTTATTGTGTATAGGTGTGTAGAGGTGGAGGAACGTGAGTTTTTTGTGTGTAGAGGTGGAGGAGCGTGTGTTTATTGTGTATAGGTGTGTAGGGGTGGAGGAGTGTGTGTTTATTGTGTATAGATGTGTAGAGGTGGAGGAGCGTGTGTTTATTGTGTATAGGTGTGTAGAGGTGGAGGAGCGTGTGTTTATTGTATGTATAGATGTGTAGAGGTGGAGGAGCGTGTGTTTATTGTGTATAGGTGTGTAGAGGTGGAGGAGTGTGTGTTTATTGTATGTATAGATGTGTAGAGGTGAAGGAGTGTGTGTGCCACAGTTCAGAGTTTTTCCTTTCACCATGTGGGTCCTGGGATGGAACTCAAGCTGTGGGATCTGGGGCCAGGAACCTCCGTCCACTGAGCCCTTTCACTCACCCTACCTTCAGATGTTCACACTTAACTTTTTGTCATCTTTGGTGTCATCTTTGCATGTGGAGGCCAGAGGACAAACTTGTGACCTATTCCTTAGGACCATCTTTTTTTTTTTTTTTTTTTTTTGGGGGGTGGGAAGAGTCTCACTGACTTGCCAAGTGGACTAGACCAGCATAGCAAGCCCAGGGACTTGTCTCTGTTTTTCCACGCTGGTTTTACAAGCATCCACTATCCACTACCATGCTGCCTTTTTCTTTCCTTTTCTTTCTTTCTTTTTTTTTTTTTTTTTTAAAATGTGGGTTCCTGGCAGGGTATTGAACTTAAACCCTCTTGGCAAACCTCCCAGCCCACATCCTTTTTATCCTTCTTGTCTCTTCCATATTTAAAAGTCTGGGTATTTAAGACCAAGATAGTCTGTCTTGGAGGAGCTGATTTGTAGGAAACAAGATGTGGCTCATAAGGAGAAAATGTCAGGTTCGGAGTCAGTTCAGTAGCCAAGTAGCTGAGTAACACTGTTACACTGCAACTTCCCAGTATCCTGGTGAGGTGTAAACTGTACCACTTCAGTTGTGCATATGGAGAAATAGAGCATCTTATATAGGCCAAATAGCTTAGGTAGAATGAACGTGAGTCAGAGTGAGTCTTGATTTCCGAGGCAATACTCCTTGAGCACTTGGGTCTGCTTTTAGTTTTAAGAGCGCCACATTTCATGCTTTTACTTTTAAGGAAATCTATTTACTTGAAAGCATTGGACCAAAGGAATTTAGATTTCTCATGTAGTGTCGGTAAAGCTTTGGTACCCACTGGGCTTGCTTCAACTGTCCACAGATTGACAGGTGAGTTCCTCTGGAAATAGGGTCTTATTATATTTCAGGGTGGTCTGGGAATCCCGAGTGCTGGGATTGTAGGCATTCACCATCATGTTCAGCTAAAATTTCAGATGACTTTATAGCTTCACATTAAAAACTAAGATTAAATAGTGGGTAAATGTTGCTGAGTTTGGCTAGGAGTGAGCTGACCCAAAGGGGAAAGGCCAGGAATAGAGAAGGAAGCTGGAGCACGTCAGGTCACATCTATGCAGTAAAACTTTGTTTACGATTTGTGACCTTCGGGAGATAAACAGCAGGAGAAATGAAGTATGAGCCATCAACTCAGATACTCTTAAATCTCTAGCCTCCCCAAAGTCACTTTGCCTATCATATACCTCTTTTCTCTGAGAGTTTTGTTTTCTCAACTCTCAGTTGGCTATTTTCAACAGTTTTGGTTTAAAGGCTAGGTCTGGTAGCACACGTCTTTAATCCCAGCACTTTGGAGGCAGAGGCAGGCAGATCTCTGTGAGTTTGAGGCCAGCCTGGTTTACAAAGTGAGTTCCAGCACAGCCAGGACTTTGTAGAGAGACCCTGTCTCAAAAAACAGAAGCTTCTTGTTTGTTCCAACTAATAAAGAAATAGGACTGGCCATCTATGCCATTAAAGGACAACCATGACAACTTATACTATAATTTGTATTCCACTTAGAGATTCCAGCAGTGTTGCTTCCAACAAACCCTTGGAAGAGGAATGGATATGTATACAAACCTTGGATAGGAAAAAAATAAAAGTATTTAATGGCTTTTATGTTTTGAAATATAGCTTTACTTTTTATTTTTACAAGACAGTGTGCAGTATGACATCTCAAGAGAATGGTGGAGAAACAAGACAGTACAAAGGGAGATCAATTAATGCCAGAGTGATTACCTTCATTCAGGAAAAATCCCTGGTTAATACTTTCCACATACTCACAGAAATTACATTCAAATCATTCCTTGTCAATAATTACTCCTTAGACCATGAGGGAAGGAAAACAATCCATGCCCTAGATTTTCATAGATGGCTAACCTGGACCAGTCTAAATACTAATGTCTTATTTGTTCTGACATAGGAAGACTAAAGAAATGCCAGTACTTCCTTGTTTGGATTTCCCGAGGATATGTCATCAGCTGATACTATCTACTTTCTTTCTGAGACAGGGTCTTATGTGGCTGATGTAGCTGCTGATCCTTCTGCTTCCACTTTTCAAACTCTGGGACTACAGCCATGAACCCCCGGTGCTGGGGATCTAACCAGGGCTTTGTGCATGCTGGGCAATACTCTACCAACTGAGCCATGTTCCTGCCAACCACAATATCATTTCTGTAAGTGCCTAAGGCTTCCCTAGCTAGCACTGAAGTTTCCAATCAGAACCACAGAGGGTTAGGGAATCGAATTAGCCCTAATGTTGTACAATTACATATATAATAAGGCTTTTTTTTTTTAAAAGTTAGCATAGCTTAACTTCTCACTCTGTTTATGGACTTTGTTGAGCATTGTATATTCATAATCACTAGGATTTAGAACAGTTCAGGTTATGTATATACTATCCACCTATGGATATGAGTAAAGAGAACTATAGCATCTCACTGATCTTGAAAATCACAGTCTAGATGCATGCACGGTGGCCTAGCATGCGCCTAAGTTCAGGCTCTGCCTGTGAAGGTCATGTGTTTGAGTTGAGAGCATACAACCCCACTGTCACCAGTGGCAGCGACACTACTTACAGCTTTACTCAAATCCAACAATCTTTTTTCTCCCCCCCCCCCCCCCGGCCCCTTCCTGTTTCATGTAGCTCAGGCCAGCCTTCTCTATCCGGCTCTTCCTGCCAAGGTTACAGGTATGCACCAAGTCTCTGTCAGTCAGAATTCTCAGTCAGTATGCAGATCACAAAGCTCTACTGACCACAGAGTGCCTCTCATTCCTGAGAAGAGAGGAAAACTGAAAAGATTTCATCTTTTAAGTGCTAAGTAAATTGACCTTCAGTGCTGACAAGGGTGTGGACTTGGCCTTTTCCTGCTGTAAACTGGGAATGTTCAGACTCAAGGCTGTATAATAGCATTCCTTCCCTCAACCCAAGAACATTCCTTTATTCCGAAGGAAAATTATTTTAAAAAATATTTCTAAGTAGACACACTTGCCAGCCAACTACAAAAGCCATGCAAAAATTGAACATAAAAAGACATCACAAACTCTGATTTGTTCCATAAGATTATCTAGAAGAGAGATCAGACACATGAAGGGCACTGACAAGACATTAACAACAACTGCTTGTGCAAAGTGACAGTTCAGTATCATTCCAGTGTTTAGCTTTGGAACATGAAATGCTGTAGCTACATAAATGAAGACATTCACATTGTCACACATTACACTTTCCTTAAAGGCTTGAGAAGACTACAAGTTAACTTTCCATTTGGATTTGCAGACACTGCATTTTAAAGCTGTAGCTGTAGAAACAGTGTAAGAATCCTATTTAAGGATTTTTTAAAGTCAACATTTGAGATGTAGCAGGCTGTTGTGTTTCGGTCACAAGGCAGACCTTGTTAGGACAAACCTTGACTGTATTTGCTTAAACAGACTTTCCTCCAATGTCCTTTTCTAAGATTCTCAGTGACTTCTGATTTCTACGTTAATTGTCATGGTGTTCCCTCAGTGTATATGTGCATAAAATTATATTCTAATGCTGAAGACAACTTAGTCTATTAAATATTAGCATACAGTACAGCAGATTTCCAGTTTGATACATACATACATACATACATATATAGCACAGTCACAGATAAAATTCTGTACTCTGATATAAAAATGCAGAAAGTGTCAAATGTGTTATTATCTTTCCATGGAAATAAAAAACTATTTCCATCACGAGGAAGAAACCTCAATGGTCAACACAGTTTATACGAACTCTCGTATCAGAAAAGGGAATCAAGGCTATCAAATCACCACAATTTACTAAAAGAATTTAGAAAATTCTATCTTTAAAAATGTCAGCATCTTTTCTATACTTTTAACTACACTAG